AGAAATTCGTTACCTACTTTTACTTATTACTATTACTTACCTAATTACTTCTATGACGTCTTTCCTACTCCTACTTACTTTGTAGACCCCAACCCCCCCCCCCCCCCCCCCGGCCAAGTTTTGATACCCATGGTGGTCAGGGCATGACTAGTTCATTTTAGTAATACAATCAGTAGTGTAACTATCCTGCAAAGTCGTCTGCCTGAAGCCCCATCCATATTTAGACATCCAGTTAGGAGAACAAATGTTCCTGAATTCCAATTAAATCCTAAAAGGTTCATTTTGAATGTTTCTATAGCCCATACAGACAGTTATCTAGAACTCCCACATTGAACAACATCCATTTTAAACAGAGACAATGCTTAACCTGGTAAACCAGAAGCTGTGCAATGGGCTTCACTAGAAGAGAGAATATTGGCACTAGAGGTGTGGAAATGAGAAACTCCAGATCTGAAACTAAGGCAGTGGCCATCTTATAGGCAAGCTCTATCAGAGTAAGTGTTATGTATATTGCAGAGAATGAAAAGGATTTCTCTAACAATTGAAGCAAAGATATTGTAGAATTATTGATAACTTCCTGGCATTAAAATTATTATAAAGACAAGGTATTTGTGTATGTACAGCAAGAGTTTCCTTGGTATGCAGTTCCTGTTTTCTTGGAGCGGTGATATCAAACAGTTATAGGACAGCTAGAATTTGACAGCTTTCTACAGAGGGTTGAGTGTGTTATATTAAAATGATTTTGGTACCTACCCACATGTTATAGCCAATGTCATCATATCAAGTAATTTTTACAATAACCCTGCAACACAGTTTACATTGCAGAAGGCTTGGGTTGTTATGCTTAAAGTACACCACTCCTCCCTGCATGCTTTCTATATTCAATATAATGTATGAAATCTATATAAGAGATATGTCTAGTGACTCGACCAGTGTTTCTTTGTACGGAATACCATAAATACTAGTTTTCATTGACTGCTTGAGCTATGCAACAGTTGCATGAGTATGTTGTGGAAGCAACTTGTGTACAAGTGACTTGTGTTTCTTTTCCAGATGGAAGGTCCAAGGCTTTAGCCAAAGTTACCCACTGAAAATTCTTCACACCATGACTTATGAAAGCCTATAACTGTGACACATATTCCAGCTGTTCAGTTAAAAGTAGTTACAGCAGTTACTGCTGAATGGCTGCCCTCACCTTGATCACCAGTTCTAAATTACATATGGCTGAGCTTGAAATTTGAGTCAGCATGGTTCAGTGGCTTTGTGCTTTGGACTCGTAATTGGATGTCGTGAATTTGATGTCGTGTTGTATCCTTGATACTCTACCCCAGTTATTTCAGTCTACCCAGCTTTGTGATGGGTACCAGCTGTTAGTTGGGGGTTAACTTGTGATGGACTGGCATCCCATCCAGGGGAGATGAACGTGTCACCATTTTCATCTACTTGTACCAGTTAAACCATAGTTCAGAATCATACCATTTCTGCCATCTTGATGTGAGAGGGATTTGATGTTGATGCTTGAACCTTAGTGAGCTCTGACCTATCGCACAAGGTTCCATTCAGTTTGAAATCACGAAAATATCAAGTGAGTGTGAAAAGATTCAAAACAGCTACATATATTTTTTTTTGTTGTTGTAAAAAACATACAAATATGGAATAACTGTTGAGCAAAGAGTTAAAAAAGACCAAAAGAAAATTAAGTTTTTTATCTTATTATTAGAAAGTTGTAATCCAAACCCAGATGAAGAACTTATGACAGAGAAATATGTCAGGTTGATCAAGTAGACACTCGTCTCAAATCTTTTGTTATTTATGTTCTGTTTTGTATGAGTTTTTTTTTATAATGGAGAATAAACTCATTGCTGGAAACTGGCACCATTAGCACCATCTGTTATTAATAAACTTAAGTTATTGTTTTAAATTCTTCTATTGTATATATATATACCATAACTGGAACAATGAAAATCTAGACTGCATTTCTATATTAGAAAGAAATGTTTGTTTCTTTGTTAATGGATATCAACAATCCTCTACCCATCTAAAGTTCTTTGTTAATGGATAATAACAATCCTCTACCCATCTAAAGTGAGATTGTAATTAGTGCAGGAGCCGAAGAAGCAAATGGGAGAACACCCTCAAGTGTTATCTGACAATATAGTATAGTGTTACTAGTTACTAAGTAACAACACCTTTCATGTATAAGTATTATTTAACAATATAATATAGTGTTACTAGTTACTAAGTAACAACACCTTTCATGTATA